AAAAAAGCAGCCAGCCCCCCCGGTCGGCCCTCCAGGGCAGCGACAGGGACGACCGCGAGCCACGGGGCGAGACGGCCGCCACGCCAGCGGGGCCGCCCAGGTCCCACGGACCGCAGGCACGCCCTCGCGGAGCACCTCACGACCACATAGCCAGCATTAAAGTCGGGCCTGTCCCTCTACAGCAGGCATATGCAAAGATAGTAAAATCATAGTTTCGGGACTTGGTTATTTGTCGACTATGTTTGAGCATTGTTTGACTATCTTTCACGTTTCGCCCAAAATCCGCCTGTAGGAGGACAAGCCCGACCTGAAGCCAGCAACAAAGGGATCGCGAGACCACTCCCCCAGCCTGTAACACAGTCGCTCCCTTAGCGAGCGGACCAGCTGGCGCGCTCCCTCCAGCAGTAGCAGGAACAGTCAGCACCGCTGACCGAGACGGGCTCCGCCGAGCGCAGGAAGCCTGGAGCGACCTGCAACAAGCCCTTTCTAGCCCGCAGTTGCCAATTACGGGGGCGGCCTTTTTCAGGGCTAGACCTAAGGGCTGTTTTGTTGGACTTTGGCTGTGTTTTCTTTTCCGTTTTGGCGGGGAGGCACGGGGAAGCAGTCAGAGCAAGACGAACAACAGAACAAACAAACAAAACGAAAAACAACGTTTGGGTCCAGCCCTGTCCCTCCCCACGAAACAGCTGGCACATGAACCGTCGTTCGCTCTCCCTTGGCCGCTGCGGGGGCCGCCCCCAGGCGGCGTCTTCCGATTCCCACTGTCGCCGAGGCTCGCGTGCCAAAGCGTGCTAAAATTCGACGCCCCTTTTTTCGCCACGAGGACGCAGACGGGCCCCACATCGGCCTGATCACCGCCGCCCGCCCTGTTTCCAGACGGGGTCCCTGTGACCGCTCCAGGGGAGAGATAAACCCACCACCCATGTTACATATGCGGCGCCTCCCGGTGATGCGAGGACGGCCTGTCGCGCGCTCGCAGCCCAGGGACCGAGCATCGGCGATGCATGACCGATACATCGGCGATGCATCGCCGATGTATCGGCGATGCGGCGCGATCTTTCGACCCCATCCACTCCGAGACCACCTGGGAGGCCTCTAATTATAGTTGGCGCACTCCCCTCCCGCTCCTCTCCACAGTTGCTCCCCCCTCTCCTGCCCCATGCTTCTCATCCTCCGCCTCCCCGCGCGCTTGCCCCCGACCCATGCCAAGAAACACCTCCCAGAGTGTTCCCGAACGCTCTGAGCGTTCCGGAACTCTCCCAGAGCGTTCCCGAACGCTCTGAGAAGGCCGCGGCGCCCGAGGCATCCTCCGGAGCCGTCGGATCTCAGACATTCTCGATTCATCCTCACCCGAATTGATCCTCGTCTTGGCCTCGTCTTGGCTCTTTCGCGGACTCCTCCGTACAGTGGAGACCCATGCCAAGAAACACACTGCTTGCCTCCAGGGTGCCGTGAGGTTTTTGGGTTTCGATGGTTCTGCTATGGAAGGCGTGACGTTCCCAGGGTTGGGTTTCTTGTGGAGGGTTCCTTGTGGACTGGCCCCCACTGTATACGTTACCAGCGGCGGGTTGTTTTTCAATCCCCGAACTTTCTGAGGGTCGGGGACGACGTCGGGATGGGTGGTGTCTTTGTTTTTACCCCCGCATCCCCGGGGACACAACGAAACATATATGCACCAGGATCCCGTATACACCAGGATCCTGTGTCCTGTGCCCATTTCAATGCGGGGCGCGACAAAACGTCGGTGTACAGAGTTCGGCTCCTTGAGAAGTGCCAGCAACATACGCTCAAGACGTTGCAAACAGGATCACCTCGGGCCCGGGAGGGGCTATGGCTGGCGGGTCGCTCCTCTGGCCTAGGTCGGGGAACCCGTTCGTGGCCGCGGTTCGCTGTGCCCAGGACAGCCCAATCGTTTCTGCTCTGGCCCTCCTCGTGTGGCAGCGCGCCGGCTGTAGGGCCATCGCGTCAAGGTAAGTGTCCGGCGAGAGCTGCGTTTTGAAAAGGATTCGGCCCCCGTGCCTGTAAGTGTCATTTGTTTGCCAACCCTCGCCACGCAGATCAACTCACAAGCGACAGCCCAACAAAAGAATGGGCCACCCTCCATCCGCGCAGGAGCTGCACAAGACCAGTATCGGGCCAGAACACGCGAGGACATCCCAGGCGGGAACCACATCTTGCAAATACGAGCAGCCTTCCATCCGTGAAAGTGTTGGGCTCTCTTGAAGAAGCGAGCGCGCGCAGCGCCAGAAGGCGAAACCCCCACTGAGAGGAAACGAGGAACGTCCTCCGCCCGTGCCACTGCTGCGCCGCGCCACGGCCTGCGCGCCTGGCTGCTGCTGCCCCCCCCCCGGCTGCTCATCGTCGAACTCTTCGACGTCTGAGCGTCCATTTTCCTCTCGGCCGCCCCCCCCCCCCGCCTCTTTGCCCGTTGGCCAATTCGCTAATTAGTGCCCCGTTTCTAGCTTCTCGCTGGAGCGGAGTTCGCCGCCTCGCCGCTGACGAAAAAAGCGCCGCGCCACGGCGAGAGTCAGATGTTGAAGACGTTTCAGGCCTGCAGTAGTGTACGTAGCCGCTGTTCTTCCCAACCCTGTGTTCGGTTCTTCTTTTGAATCGAGCATCCTGGTTTCCACTTCCTTCGAAGAAGAAAAAACGCTATAAACGTAAATTTGTGGCTCCCCGGCGGCGCCTCCGGCGCCGCCCCTGGCGCGCTCCGCGCGCCAGGGAGGGGGGGCCAGCGCGGATCCATGGCGTTTTTTTTTGAACAGAGCATCGTGGTTCCCTCCTCCTCCTTGTACCGCCTCCTCCTCACTTCTCATCTCTTCCCGGTGTTTCCTTTCTACCGTGCTCGACCTGTCGTTCTGAAAACGTACCGACCGGCATCTGTGCAGCCCTGGTTACCAAAGACACGTGCGCACAGCGCCGAGGCGGAAGCCTCATATCAAAAACCGCCCGTGTTCCGTCCCGTGTGCCTGAACGCTTCAGGCTTCGAGATCATAAGTTCAGATGAAGTCTCAGTCGACACACCCGGCCTGTCCTACCGTCACGTCCAGTGGTGCGACAGGGAGGAGCTCTCTATAAGGAAGAGGGATGGAAGCCATGCGCTTCAGCTCCATACGTCAGGCTTGGCAACAGGCTGTTCACCAAACACCGACGCCGCCGACGGCTATGGGAAACTCTCTGGTCGAAATTCTTGAGGCGTCGCGGATCCCCACCAGCCCATCCCACAAACAGTCAACAGGCGAGTTGCTTTGATCAGGCATTTGCGGGTCTTCTGCTCCAGGTGTTTATGGTATGCATTTTGGGGCATCTTGTAGCCATTTGGGGGCCATTTCCAAAGCGCGCTCTTGGGAGTCTCATGGGCCTCTTGGGGCCATCTTGGGGGTCTCTTGGGCCACTCTTGGGACCTGGGAGACTTGAGGACCTCTTGGGGACATCGTGGAAGGAATCGGTTAAAAGTGGGGGGTCCTAAGTACGCCCCCCGTCGGTGTCCTCAAAATATTTTCGTTGGGCGCTCTTGGAGCGGTGTTGGACACTGTTGGGTCGTCTTGGGCCATCGAGGCCTAAGAGCCAATCCGAAGCGATCTAGCGACAAAGCAAAAATCATTGATTTTCAACTGGTTGTGGAAGGATGTTGGCCTCTGGGGGGCCTCCTTGGGAGGCTCTGAGGGCACTTGAAGCCGTCCTGGGCCGGCCTTGAGAAGGCTCGTTGAGGCATGTTGAAAAACATGTTGGATTATATTGAGCGATCTTGGAGATCATTTTGGGCTCTCTGAGGCTATCTTGAAGCCATCTTTGGCTATCTTGGACGCTCAAATCCCTCGCTGAACGCCCCCTCCAGACCCTGGAGGATGGGGGAGGGGGGTAAGGGAGAAGCCCCTCCCTGAACAGGAAGAAGGGGATTAGCAGAACGAAACCATGCACGCCTAGAGGGTTGGTGGGATTCCTCCTCCTCTGCTTTGCTTTCGCTGCCCTGCCTCTGACCACTCTAGACCGCCCCGCCGCATCATCTATCTCAAGATAGCCGCGTCAGTCCTACCTGAAGGGCCTGCAAAATCGCCGATCCAGCTTCCGACACCTTGTCCAGCGTAGCGTCCTTGGTCATGATCGCGGCCCTCCCAGGGGCCAGCACACACTTCAGCTCAGTCGAAACAGCCTGGCAGATTGCGGCGGAGCCTGCTTTCAGGCGGGTCACCACACTCTTAAAGAAATGCCCGTCCCCGATATACCGATATCATGAACAAAGAGGTCCAAGGAGAACGAGAGGGCGATCGGAAGCTACTGAAAAGTAGGACGAGGAGGTCGTGATGGAGGAGGACGGAGGAAGGAAGAAGAAGGAGGGATGCGGGAAGACGTGTAAAAAGGAGGGATGGGGAGTAAGAAGGAAGTAAGTGTGGGAGGAGGAGAAGAAGGAGGAGGAGAAGGAGGAGGAGGAGGAGGAGAAGGAGGAGGGAGGAGGAGGAGAAGAAGAAGGAGGAGGAGGAGGAGGAGGAGGGGAGGGAGCAGGATGGCGTGGCGGGCCCTGATGTCCAGCGCGGACCTGGCGAGGACTCCATGCAGCGCGCCACCGAGTACTGGGGCAAGCAGGGCGCCACTCTCGTCTACAAGGGAGTGGGTGGCCTGGACCCCCAGCCGCCGCCACTTGAGCGGCGCAGGAACACGGGTCCGTCTTCACCGGCACTGGCGCGTAAGTTGCCCGCGTCAGGTTGCGCGTAAGCGCCTTCGTTCCCAATGTGGCGTGCCGCGTTGGCGGCCCGCGTAGGCCACCGCGTTAGGTCGCTATGCCATCTCGCCTACAGTCAACCTGTATGATGAGGACGCACGACAAGGATGCACGGGCCTTGGAAGGCCATGTCGACACTTTGCAGGCGGGGCGCGGCCAGCGAAAGCGGCCAAGGATGGGCCGGAGGGGAAGGATGCAAGAGTGACTTCGGAAAGCGGTTCATCATTATTATGCGGGTTGACTGCAAGACCCCTTTCTTTTTGCCGCTCCCTTTGCTCCGACATGGCATAGCAGTACGATGTGCGTGAACGTCGGATGCCTGAGCGGGCACGGCCCTCCCCGCACCACTTCCGCGGACATTCGGAGAATGTCGGGCCCAGGGGTGTGTAGAGGAGGGTCCAGCGCCGACCCAGGGAGCCCGCACGGACCTCCGAAAGCGCATGTCAGCGTCGTCGCTTGGGTTTCGACTGGCGAGGGGGCCCAACGTGAATACACCCCGCTCAACAGCCTCCTGAGCTGCTCTCGGAGCTTTCTGGAGTGCTCTGGGATGGCCGTTGCGCCCGGCACCTCGTCCAGACCCGCTAGCTCCCAGCGGTTCCCGAGTGATCCAAGCACGATGTTGTGTTCATCCAGCCTCTGAGTCTTGTCTTCGCATGCTGCCTGCGTCTGTCAGCCTGTCTTGTCTGTGTCTTGTCTGTGTCTTGTCTTGTCTTGTCCGTGTGTTCATCCAGCCTCTGTGTCTTGCCTTGTCTTGTCTTGTCTTGTCTTGTCTGTGTCTTGTCTTGTCTGTGTCTTGTCTTGTCTTGTCTTGTCTGTGTCTTGTCTTGTCTTGTCAGCCCAGGCTTCCGCCGGCCTGAGAGCGGACAGGGTGGCTGCGGCCAGCTTTTCGGAGATGGGGCCCCCAGAGGCCCGCTTCGGGCCCTGGGACCTGCACAAGAAATCCGCGGCGACCTGGCTTGAGGCACCACGGTGTGGGGACCCGATGCGACATCACTGCAGCGCCGGGGTTGCAGGTCAGAGGCCTCTGGGATGCCTGCGGGGATCTCTGGGGAGGCCTCTCGGGAAGCCTCTTGGAGACGGTTTGGGGTGTCCTCGGGCTTCCTGGGGACCTCTTGGAGGCCTCTTGGAGCGTCGTTGGGACCCCTCGGGGGCCTCCTGTGGCTTCTTGGGGGGCCTATGAGTGTTCGTGCTGGCGGTCTCGGGAATCATCCTGGGGCCGACGGCTCGAAGTGCCAGCTCGAGCTCTCCAGCTGGGGCCCCGTTTGGGGCCCTCGGGCCGTCTTGGGGGCCCCTGGGGCCGTCTTGGGGTTTTTGGGGGGGAGACCGAGAGGGCGCGGGACCCAGAGGGCACGATAGTCTTGCAGTACCACTGCGAGAGTTGGGAGACGGATGCTGGTTGAGTGATGGACGCAAGGAGCAGCAGCTAACAAGAGAGGACGCCCGTGGAGATCAGCGCCGTGGATTATGTCGGCGACGAGGTGACCTTCGCCAATCCGATTTCGATCAACGCGGGCTTCAGCGAGGACAAGTTGATTCTCGAACACTGCTGCGGCTGCGACCCCTTCTGTGATCAACGCTACAGCACTGAGCAGGCACTTCGCAGCCTTGGACCATATCAACCCTGCATGGTTGAGCAATTGCTCTGACCTGGTGGCAAGACTGGAAGTCCCTGCCCAGAACGTCCTGATGGTCTATCACGCAAACTTCCCACACGCACGTCGGCGAGCTACGACGTATGCTTCGTGGCAGTGCTACTGCCAGGATATGTGGTGGGGTGGATGTCCCACGCCTGCCGCCACGAACCGCTCATCCCAGTCGTCACGTACGATCTTCAGGAAAAAGAGATCATGCACCAGGCAACGTAGTTCAACATGCCTATCGCAGTCGCGAACCCTCGCGTGGACTGTGGCTGAAACAACGAGTAGAAGAACATTGATTCAGCGCGCCTTGTTGGAACGTACTAGTGGCTCCCAGACGACATATTGGTCAAGAGCGACGTGGAGGTCATCGCTTTCCCGCCATACAAGAAAGAGCAGTACGAGATTCAGGGGCTCTGAGTCTTCCAACGGCAGCCCACCTGCTTCAGGAAGCTCATGGCCAGGGGCTTCAATGGTATCGCGAGCGACGCCGCGCTTTTCGCCAGGGAGCTCTTGGTGCCCGAGAGCGACATAATCGTAACGTTCAAGAGGAGCGTCGACGGAGAGGAGATCTCGGACTTGTCTTGCGGGTGGGCACGAGAGAACCAGGAGTTGTGGCACTCGTGGCTGCCACCGCAGCTCGCTTCCAAGGTCTCTTGAACGAGGCTGGCGAGTTCCTATTACCAGGAAGCCTCACCGTTGGCGTCGAATGCGGCTGGCGCGAGCCCGGAACCGCGAGCGTCTTCGCGGTTCGGGCTCCTGCCTGGCCGGTTCTTTCTTCCTCCTGCCCAGTTGGCTCTTTCCAGAAGTCTACCGCCAGATAGTTTGCGAGGGATGTTCGCCAGGCAGGCTCAGATCTCCGCATGGCAACACCGCTTGCGATGACTGCGAGGTGGGCGAGATAAAGTGCTCACGCTGCCCAGTCGGCAAGTACGCTGCTGAAGAAGGTTTGTCTGTTTGCACCAGATGCACGGATGAGTCGCTGCAGCTCTGGGCGACGTTGGAGCGGACTGCAGTCCAGGGCAAGATGGCGTGGACTTTTGCCACTGGCGTTCAGTCCAACAGTTCATGCGGATGCGGGTGCTCGCCCAGCGCTGCAGAAGCTGAGGGGGCACTCATGGACGCCATCGGATCTGCCATCGG